CACACACACACACACACACACAGACAAGGTACTTAGCAAAACTTTCTGAGTCAGTTGTTGTTTCCTTTTGTTTTCATTATGGCTTTAAAAAAGTCATAACATAAAAAAAATCTATCTTTCCTACAATTTCCAAGAACACAGTCAACACATGCATATTGTACAACAGATCCAGAACCCCCTGCCAATCATGCATGATTGAAACTCTACATCCACCAAAAAACAACTTCCCATCTCTCACTCTCCTCAGCCCCAGGTAATGATTGTTCATCATTCTACTTTCTGTCTAGGAGTTTGTACACTTTAGATACTTTAAATAAATGGAATCTTACAGCATTTTTCTTTCTGTGACTGGGTTATCGTGTTTCATGTATCTCAGGTTCATCCATATTGTACTACATGAGGACAGTTATTTCTTTTTAAGGCTGAATAATCTTCCCTGTTACATATGCCACATTTTCTGTCTTTCACTGTCAATAGACACTTAAGTTGCTTCCACCTCTTGGCTGTTGTGAATAACGCTGCAATGAATGTGGGTGTGCAAGTGGCTCTTTGAATTCCTGCTTTTCATTCCTTAGATTTATACCCAGAATTTAGGGTTGCTAGATCATAGGGTAGGTCTACTATAAAATTCTTGAGGGACCTTCATAACTATTTTCTACAGAAGCTGCACCATTTTACATTCTTACTGATAGGTGCCTAAGGATTCTAGTTTTTTCACACCCTCCCCAGCACTTGTTATTTTCTGTCATTTTGATAATGGCCATTCTAACAAGTGTGGGGTTGGTCATATCTCATCATCATTTTGATTTGCATTTCCCTAATAATTAGAGATGTTGAAAATCTTTTTATATGCTTGTGGCCATTTGTAAGTTTTCTTTGGAGAAATGTGTGTTCAAGTTCTTTGATTATTTTTCAACCATGTTATTTGTTAATTTGTTATTGAGTTATAGAAGCTCTTTATATATTCTGGATGTTAACCCCTTATCAGATATGACAGTTGGTGAATTCTTTCTTTCATTCCATAATGTGTCTTTTTACTCTGTTGATTGTTTTCTTTGCTGTGCAATTTTTAAGTACAATGTAGGACCATTTGTCTACTTCTTCCTTTTATTGCTTGTGATTTTGATTTTGTAGTATTTGTTTTAAAAAAAAATAGTAAAGTGTTGAACTCAAAGATGCTGGCCAAGATACCCAAGGTCATTTAGGTAGGAAGAAGCAGAGCCAGAATTCTTCCCATCCAGGCCTGACTCCAAATGCCATAAGAAAGAATGAAGTCAGGCAACAGGAGAGGGAAACAATGAGAATCATAATTACCGTGAGTGGCCAGGAAAGAGCATGTGCCTGTTCTGTGCCTTGTCCTTGTCCCTGTCACCATTCACCAAGTCAGAGAAACAGGGTCTAGAAACTCCTGATACATTTCTAAACCCTGTCCTAATTTGGCTGAGAGACAAATGACTAGTAGCTTTAGAATTCTGAATTTTAGAATTCAGCCTTTGAGAACTGACTCATTTTCAATAATCTTATTTCCTTCCTAGGAGGTTTTGGGATGGGAAGCAAATCAGCTGCCACCAGCCCAACAGGATCCTCACATGGCACTCCTACCCATCACAACAAGCCCCAGACTTTGGATCCTTTTGCTGACCTTGGGACACTAGGTACAAGCATCGCAGGTTAAAATATAAATGACAATTGAGGCTAAAAAGCTTCAAATACAAATCTCGGTCATCACAGCTGTCACTGCTACCCAGGATCTAAAATAGTATATACACTTAAGCTATATTCTGAAAGTTGAAATTGAAATTTTTAAAAAAGGCATTAAATATTGGGTTGGAAATAATTTCTATTAATTAGTTTTCCTACTGCCTGATCTTGATAATGGCCATCCTAACATGTGTAAGGTCATTCATATCTTATCATCATTTTGATTTGCATTTCCTTAATAATTAGAGATGCGAGAATCTTTTTATATGCTTGTGGCCATTTATAAATTTGTAACATGAATGTAGTTAGAGCTTCTAGGAGCATATGACACTAGGGTTTGGCTGTAACAAAGGTAATGTGTAGAAAAATGGTCAGAGATGAGGGTGGTCAGGTGGATTTGTATCACATGATGCCACCCTTGCAGAAACCTTACTGTAGTATTACCTGTGAGGACCTCACACTCTTAGTCTTCTTGCTCCCCTTAACCACACTCTGTGTGGTCAGTTTATAAAATACTATACAAAAAAATCAACTCTTTTGGTCATATTTCATGTTTTTCACCATAAGTTAACAGAAGATACAGGACAAATTTTCTGTGAGCAAGTGAGTTTGGAAAACACTGGGTTTGGTGGACTTTGATTACTGCAAAACTTTTGAGAGTTAGTGTTCATGTTGATGCCTTCCCACGGGGATACGATAGTGAACCTATTTTACTGAGGAACCTATATTCAAGGAGTATTCATTGAAGTACATGGTCTAAAACTTCTTTCTTCCTTCTCTAGGGCAGTCGGGAGTGGTTAAGTAAGCACTGAGTGGCCCTGACACAAAGGTTTGCATTGGCCATGTTAATAGTCTATGTTCTCAGAAACTCCTCCTGAGACATTCAGAGCCAAATCATCTTCGTGCATTGTGAACATGGCTGCCATTTTTGCCAATCATTGTGTCAGAATCCCAACTTTGCATTTGTACTCTTTAGACCTATTTTTTCTTTTTAAGAAATTTTGAAATTATTTTGTAGAGTCATCATCTTCTCTTCCCTTATTTGTATCTTAATGTAAATTTCAAAAATTTAAGTAATAACATTAGGTGAAATTCTACTTAAAATACCACTGACTATTCATTTTTTATATCTTTATTCATCATCAAATATTTACTGTGTGGTTTCTCTTTGCTAGCTAGCACTGATTTAATAAAAACCAGCCAAACTAAAAGAGAGCAAAATTCCTGTCTTCCTCAAGCTTATAATCTGAAAGGAGAAAAAAACAGTAAATGAATAAGTATATAATACAATGTCAAGTCATAAAAATAATAATAATAAGCTGGATGTGGTGGTACATGCCTGTAATCCCAGTTACTCAGGAGGCTGAGGCAGGAGGATTGCAAGTTTGAGGCCAGCCTGTCTTAAAATAGAAAAAAAAAAAAAAAAAGGACTAAGGCTATGGCTCAGTAGTAAAACACTTATGGGTTCAATTCCTAGTACCAAGAAAGAAAGAAAGACTGTTAATATTTATTGAGGGTTTTACGATGAAACAGGTACTATTTTAATGTTTTACTTATATTATTTAATTTGATATTCCTAATAATCTTTTGAAGTAGGAACTATTAGGTGTTACTCAGCTTTTCATTGCTGTGACCAAAGTACCTGAAAAGAATAACCTAGAGGAGGAACAGTTTATTTTGGCTCATGGTTTTAGAGGTCAATGGTGGATGGACTCCATTGCTATGGGCCCAAGGTGAGGCAGAACATCACGGCGGAAGAGTGAGGTGGAGGAGTGCTGTTGCATTCATGACAGACAAGAAACAGAGAGAAAGAAAAGGGGAAGGGTCCATATCTCCAATGTTTTTCACCATAAATTAATAGTGGTTATAGGAGAAATGTTTTGTGAGCAAGTCACAGGGAAGATGAACCCTTCCAGGGCACACTGTCAGTGACCTACCTCCTTCAGCCACACACAGTTAGCAGTCAGTCCATTCACACGAGGGTGGACTAATGATATTTCAGTTACCATAGTCTAATCATTTCACCTCTGACTATTCCTGCATTAACACTGGAGCTTTGGGGGGACATTTTATATCCAAATCATAACATATTATAATCCTCATTTTATAGATATGGGAACTGGGGCACAAAAGTTTGTATAACATACCCAAGTCACAAGGCTTTGACACCAAGATGTCTATCTCTGGAGCTTGCACTCATACCCCTATGCTAAGTGCTATGGAGGAAAAAATAAGAAAAAGACAAAGGGTAGGATAAGGAAAGGAAGGAGGTGGTAAATGATGGATGGGCTGGAATGTTATTTTAGATAGTAGATAGTTAAGAAAGGCCTCTCTGAAGAGGTGATCTTTATAGGAAAAAAAATCTTTATAGGATTTTTAAAAATCCAGTGTTACATCTTGCATTTAGTTGTCATGTCTTTTTAGATTCCTTTAATCTGAAAACATTCCTAGCCTTACTCCATCTTTTATGATATTTATATTTGATAGGTACAGACTGATGGAGAAAAAGTCTCGGTTTGGGTTTGATCTTAATTTTCAGAGCAGATGATGTCTGCCACATTTCTTCACTGTGAAGGTATCAGTTTCCCTTTGTAGCTAGTAAGTAATCTGGGAGAGATATTTTGAGATAATCCTATTTGAGAATATACTATTTCCTATTTGACTTTTACCCAATAATTTCACATTTGTTTTTAGTCAGCTTTTTTGCCACCATGGCTAAAAGACCTCACAAGAACAATTTTAGAGGAAAGAAAAGTTTATTTGGTGTTCACGGTTTCAGAGGTCTCTGTCAATAGATGGCCAACTTCATTACTCTGGTCCCAAAGTGAGACAGAACATTATGACAGAAGGGTGTGGAGGAGGATGGCAACTCAGGACAATGTTAAAAGGAAGGAAAGAGAGAGAGGGAAATTGCGGGGGGAGGGGGTGTTGCCCCACTCACCAGGGACAAAATATAAATCCCCAAACCATGCACCCAGTGACTCTTTCTGCTACCTGCCTACAGTTATCACCAGGTTAATCCCCGTCAGTGGATGAAGCCATTGATTAAGTTACAACTCTCATAATCTATTCACTTTGTCTCTGAATGTTCTTGTATTATCTCACACATGAGCTCCCAGATGACCTCTTTTGTTACATAGCAGCTGCAGTCAGACAGGAACTGAAGGATTGAAGAAATTCATAGATATACTGAGATAACCTAAGCCAGAATCTGGGGCAATAAAAGGATCAGAAGAAATGGTTTCTAAACGGAAACCTGTGGTATGGTTAGAATTAAGCCAGGAAAAGGAGTGCAGGCAGAGGGAAGGGGGTGTTTAAAAGCCCCACCCAATTCTGGAGAGCAGGATGAGCTGGGATCTGTGGTAGAAAGGTGGGGGTATGGTGTTGAACAAGTATGTCTAACTCAGGAAAGACTTCAGTATTGGTTTGGACTCCAATCTGAGTGCAAATTGAGGAGACAGTTTTGCATTTTAGGAAGATGACTCTGGACATTTTGTAGAGAACTGGTATGAACAGGGCAGGAGTGGGCATGGGAAAGGCCACCTGCAGGGTGCTGCAAGAGAAAATTAGATAATGAAACTGAGCAATGGCAGAAGAACTACCTGATATTTAGTAAAGGAATTTAGTAGAAATTGATAATGGATTAAAAGGAAAATTGAAGAAGAAGGGACTTCTCATCCCTTCCAGACTTACTTACTTGGAGGTCTTAGCCACTCTGAGCCGGTAGAGCTGAGAGTGGGAAGGAAGCTCACTTTAGCTCATCTTGGCAATGGTTTTTGACCCTTGGGCCTTAACTCCCTCATTCAATAGGAATTTTTGATTACCTCCTCTCTGCTAAGAATTCAGGCTGTAATAGAGGACTAAGGCAGATAAAATTCCTGCTCTTTGGAGTTTGGATTGTAAGAGAGAACTCTTAGTCAAATGTAAAATACTCACTAGGGTAGGCTATACAGGATGGGGCATTAAAAAAAATTCCCCCCCACCAGGCACTTCTGATGGCAGTCAAGTGTGAGAAGCACTGCTTCTGCTTTGATGACCATAGCAGTGACCTCTGGGCTTAGCTACTGATTTGTATTTCTGTCAATTCACTGCTACAGTGGCAGTAACAATTAGAATTGCTGAGCCAGTGTAGAAAATATTCTGGAAGTTTGGAAGGTTCGATATCAGAAAGTCCTAGTGTTGGGCCCCAGGAGAGGCAGGGTCAGTGTCTGCAGTAGCTCACACTGTGTCTGTGGCCTGGCTCAATAGTGTTTGATAAAATAGCAATGAGTGATGAGTGTGGTGGGAATATGGAAGGTGTTTTTTATTGTTGTTCTTTAGGGTTTTCCATCTTTAAAACATTTAAAATAATAGGACAGATATATTTAGAATAAAGTAAGCTTCCCTAAAATACAAAATGAAACCCCAGTTCAAATATCCACCCTTAGGTGTATGTTAAGGTGCTATTTACAGGAGTACTGGGACACGTGGAGAGGCCTCATGCCGTGTGTTCCAGAATGACAAGGGCCATGCCACACTTTAGCACAAACCCTGCCATTACCTGTTCCTAAGATCAGGTATTGTTGAGTCCATATGGTACACCAGGCATGTGGTTGGCATAGGAGCTTGCCTTATTTTATAATAGTTCACTTAATTCAGGGGTTTTAAAGTGCTTTCACACAATTTTTGTGTCTCACTATACCTAGGATATAGAGATAGTTTTAATTTCACAGATGAGGAAATTGAGGTTTAAAGGGGTGAAGTTTTTCACCCAGCTTGAGATGTTTTAGATTTTGAAGGATTTTCTGTATTGTGTTTTGTGTATAATTCCAGTGCCCAGCATAATGCCTGGCACGTAGTAGGTGTTCAACAAATACTAGTGAATAAATTAATGCATGCAAAAATGAATGGTGAATGAGCGACAGATATGGGCTCAAACACACGGTGACTCCAAGTCCAGTAGCCGTAATACAGTTTTCATAGTGGGGAAGGAAAGAGGAGTCTCAGGGTCAGAACAGAGGGGAAATATCTGTAGAAAGAAGAGATCGTAAGGGAGGAGTTGTAGAAAAAGGTCGGAGCTTTGGGGAGGAATTACGGATTTGGGGTGCAGAAAATGAGGCAGGATGCATACGGTCAAGTCCAGCTCACTTTACTAGCCACGTGCTCGTGAGATGTCAGTAAACCTTTCTGAGCCTTGATTTCTTCCTCTTTAAAGTGGGGCCAGTAATACTACTTACCTGCTGAGTGATGGTGTTGTGGGAATATGGATAGTAAGTTTTTTTCCTATAGATATTTCCCCTCTATTCTGGTCCTGGGACTCCTCTTTTCTTCTCCCTGGAAATGTTATATTACTGCCATTGGATTTGGAGTCAACCTGTGTTTGAGCCCAGCTCTGTCACTCATTCACCATTCATTCTTTTTTTTTTTTTTTTTTTGCGGGGGGGGGAGGGTACTGGGACTGAACTCAGGGGTACTCAACCACTGAGCCACATCCTCGGTCCTTTTTTGTATTTTATTTAGAGACAGGGTCTCACTGAGTTGCTTAATACCTTGCTTTTACTGAGGCTGGCTTTGAACTTGAGATCCTCCTGTCTCAACCACCTGAGCCGCTGGGATCACAGGTGTGTGCCACCACACCCAGCATCACCATTGATTCTTGCATGCATTGTTTATTCATTCATTCTTCCTCTAGTATTATTGAACATCTACTATATGCCAGGTGCTATGCTGGACACTGGGCACTTGTGTAGGTCAAAGGTACACATGCATATAGCCACATTTAAAAATTCTAAAGAGCTGTATAAACTTAGTTGTATATATATTTTAGCATGGAAGGGTCCTTGGAGCTCACCATAGTTCAGCTTCTCATTTTACCTCTTCAAACATTGTAATGAAATGCAAGCAGTGTGAAAATGAAATTTACTTGCAAAAATTTAAAATAATTTTATTTGTTCTTGGGCACTATCCATGCTTTACTCACACAGCAAACAATGATTAATTCTGATCATTGAAGGTTAAGTAGCTCCTTAGTGTGTGAACTTTGCTCTAGTCCCTGATCTTGTGATTTGTTAGTTTTTACTATCGTGAGGAAATAAAATCTGCTCAGAAGTGGAAGGTGAGGGAGGGGTGGCACTGTGGGAAGAGCCAGAGCTCTTCTGTCTTAGAATCAAAGGTCTAGATTCAAGTCCCAGTTCTGCCACATTCTGGCTGTGTGACTTTGACAAAATCATTTAAGTACTCTGAACTGCAGTTTGTTCATCTGAAGAAAGAATGAATGAATATGTGCCTTAAAGTGTCATTGTGGAGATTAAGGAAATAATACACATTCCTGCGATTTCTTTACCTGTTAGGAAGGTTAATTGTGCTATCATTCAAGGCATTTTCACTGAAGTCATTGCAAACAGTATCTTGAGATGCAAGAGTTAGAGGTAATTCAAAAGAGCCTTCCCTTCTTTCTCCCCTTCTTTCTGTAGGTAGCTCTTCATTTGCCAGCAAACCCACTACACCAACTGGGTTGGGTGGAGGATTTCCACCTCTCAGCTCACCACAGAAAGCATCTCCCCAGCCCATGGGTGGAGGATGGCAGCAGGGAAGTAGCTATAGCTGGCAGCAGCCACAGTCCAAGCCACAGGCCAGCATGCCACACTCCTCTCCCCAGAACCGACCCAACTACAACGTGAGCTTCTCAGCTGCACCTGGAGGCCAGAGTGAGCGTGGGAAAGGATCAACTAATTTGGGTAAGGATGACGACATGGGGCCTAGATATTGAGTTGCCTGTGATGTTATACGGACTTAGTTTGTGTATCTGAAGGCAACAACAACAACAACAACAACAAAAAACAATTCTAGTAATTTCAAAGACAATCTTGTAGAGACACCTCATGATTCCTACTCCTCAGGTGGGTCTGTTATGCTCCCAAACGTGTACCATTTTGTGATTGCTAGTTTATGTCTGTCCCTTTCTGAAGTGGAATCAGATGGATGGTAGGGACTGTGTCTTATTTGACACATTATCAATAGAACCTAGCATAGTATATGGCATAGGGTAAGCACTAAATGGATCTTGAACGGATGTGGGTAGAAGGGTGGATGGATCTTAAAGCTCTATTTCCTTTGGATGAGGGTATAGAAAAAAATGTTGGAGATATTTTTAAAAACTGGGTTCAGGTTTTTTCTTGGGTCCCAATGAGAGGACTGCACATGTCTTGAACATTTGGTCTTCTTGGTTCTCTGTTTAGTGGATTCCTGAGATCTGGGGCATCTTTGCTGGTGCTACCACTAATGCTAGAGGATGCTCTGGATGGGATTCTTGATAATGAGTAAAAAATAACACACTTTACATAACAGAATGGTTAGGTTTGAGTTGTCAAAAGACCTATTTTGATACACCTGACATTTCAGTTGATTTGATCATACCCTGTGGTGAGGTTGAGGGCCTTTCTCTCTATGGAACATGGAAAAAGGGAATTCTTCTACTCTTCACAGCAGCAGTAACCAAAAAATTTATCAAGTATTTACTACAGGCTAGGTGCTATTCTTGGCTTTTTTTTTTTTATGTATTATTTCATGTAATCTTCAAAACCAACTCCCTATTGTAGATGAAGGATTTATGATACAGATCTATAAAGTGATTTCTCAAATTGATTCATCTTGTGAGAGAGCCAGTTTTTGAATCCCAAAAATCTGGCTCTAGAACCCCTACTCTTACCTGCCATGCTCCATGACTGTGAAATAGATGCCTTTTCAAAAGTAACATGATGGAAATACTTATGTCAGGAAGATGTGACATCATGTTTATTCTTTGGTTAGCAAGGGAATTCCTGGGACAATTCCATAAAGTCAAGTGGTTACCCTCCATTTTTATTTTGAGTATATGTTGAGTGAGTGTCTTGGAGCATCTTTGTTGTAGAAAACCCTGAGTATATGGCAGTAAGCAAGACAGATGAAACCCCCAGTCTTGGAGCACTTAGATTTTAAGGTGTGGACGTTCAAGTATGGGTCCACAATGGTTTCCAGTCTAGAAAATATAAATGGATAGCAACTAAGAAACTGACTTTTATTTATTGATGTTAGCTGGGTGAATTGCTGTGTTTTCGTCCTATTTTGTTTTAATTTAACAAACAGATAGTGTGGTACTATTCTAACCTCTGCAGCTATTAATGCATTCATTCTTACGACAGCCCTGAGGCAAGTAATATTTTTAACACATCCCCATTTTCCAGATGAGGAAATTTAGGCTTAGCAATGATAAATAACTTGCCTGAGTTCAAATTGCTAAGTAGCAGAGTTGGAATTCAAACCTGGGTGGTTTGACTTCAGTCTTTGCTCTTTGCCATCATGGTAAGCTGCTTTTTCAAGCAGGTTGCAGAATAGATTTTTTTCCACAATACTTTTATTCTATTTATTTTTTATTTTTATGTTGTGCTGAGGATCGAACCCAGGGACTCAGATGTGCTCTACTACTGAGCTACAGCCCCAGCCACAACCACACTGGTGGGGGAAAAGCATTACGATTAATGAGATCTAGCAGCTGGGTATGGACAAGGAAGTGGCAGCACGCATAGATTTCAAATACCAAAACCCAAACTTTGTCCCATCACTGATACTAATTAATTATAACAGGGGAAAATCATGAGTATCTTCATCTGAAAAGAAGGTACAGTAGGAATGGAATTGAATGGAATTAAACAATCCAGATGCCAGTCCTAGTCTTGCTACATATATATGATTCTGAATAGATCTCTTAAGTTCTCTATACTTCATTTTCCTCATTTACAAAATGGCCATGAGATTTACATTACTGTTGTACACAAGCAATACCATTAACATGGACCAAATATGTTTGTGTCTTTCCACAATGTCAGAATTTATTGAATAACAATAAATTCACAATCTACACCACTTTCATTGTTTGCTATTGACCAAATATTGTGTCACCTGACAGTCATAGACTGGGCAATCTCAAGTTCTTTTATTCTATTCCAACCTTATTGAAATGATCACCTATGGGCTGGGGCTGTAGCTCAGTGGTAGAGCACATGTAAGTCCCTGGGCTCGATCCTCAGCACCACATAATTAATTGCTAATATCTATGACACTCAGATCATACATCTTACTCCACACAATGATATGTGTAGGTTACAGAAAGACTAAGAAAGGCTCAAGGTGACCACAGGGTCTAGATTCAAGGTCTAGATTCAAGTCCCAGGAGACTGAATTGAGAGCAAAGATAGAGAGCAGATACAAATGTGAAAGTCACTGCTGGTGGTCAGATAAGAGTACAAACCACTGTCGGAGTATAGAACTTCCTGTAGGCCAGGGCTTGGATGCATGGCAGTTTCAGAGTATCAGCTTGAAGCATCAGCTTGAGGTATCGGCTTGGAGTAGGCCCATTAGTTGTCATCATGTACAGGAGAAACTTCACTGAGCTGAAGCCCAGGAGCAGGGAATTGGAAGGTTTGTTGCTGTAGTGATATTCCTGGACAAGGCTCATGACAAGTAACCAGGTGATGGGGTCAGTGTACCATTGTGTCCAGTCTTGGGGTGCTCCTCCTTTTATGTTCTCATGTGAGTGGATTGCTTCATATAGTAGTCGGGCCTGTTTTTTTCTGATATGGATTTGATACACCTATGCATTTATGTGCTTCTGGTTAATTCAATATAAGTTCATAGGTGATCATTTTTATTAAGATTTTTTTCCACAGTTCCTTTATTCTATTTATTTTTTAATTTTTATGTGGTGCTGAGGATCGAACCCAGGGATTCTCATGTGCTCTACCACTGAGCTACAGCCCCAGCCCATAGGTGATCATTTTTATCAGCACAATTTAGTTATTAATTTGTGCCCTGTTATTGTGCTAGGAAAATGGTGGCTTTTTGTGCAAACAAGGGGTAGAGTCATTCTACCCCAGCACTTGTTTCAAAATAGAGTGACTCATGGCACAGCGTGAAAACTATGTTCTATTCGTCATGGAGTAACTCGGAGCCTGCCCTCTACACTTACTCACAGGGAAAATGTGAGGGCTAAGGGGAATTTATACATGTAAAAGCACTTTGAAGACCCCAAGTCCTATGAGATCATGATGATATTCTGTTTAAGAATAAAACCTGTAATGATTTTCAAAACTTATATTGCAGAAGGGAAACAAAAAGCAGCTGATTTTGAAGACCTGCTGTCTAGTCAAGGTTTCAATGCCCACAAAGACAAAAAGGGACCTCGAACAATAGCTGAGATGAGAAAGGAGGAAATGGCTAAGGAAATGGATCCTGAGAAATTAAAGGTGAGTGAGTCCCTGTCAGTATGATTATCCTACACCACAAGGTCATGGGTGTGGAGCCATTAGCATGACTGCCTGATCATCTCCCACATGCCCCACTTCCTAATACCATCACCTTGGGTATTAGGATTTCAACATATGAATTTGGGACAGGGCACAGACATTCTGCCACAGCACCACTGGAAGGCATCATGTTCTGGCAATTGCCCTATTTCAGTTGGTCCCTGAAGCTGTGATTTGAGTACCACCATGCTGCTTTTTTTTTTTTTATTAGAGTTTATAGTTATGCATAGTAATTGAATTCATCCTGACAAACTTATATATACATGGAAATTGATTTCAGTTCAGGATCCTCCCCTTTTCCCTTCTCCTTTTCCCTCCTGTCCTCTCTCTCTCCTCTTCCATTCTCCTTCCTCTATTAGACTTCCTATCACTTCTCTATTAATTTATATTTTATTGTTTCTTTATGTTGTCCTATCCTTCCCTTCCCCAGCCATGCCCTTTAATAGCTAAGTGGCTTTGGGGAGGGTTGCACATGCTGCTTAGTTTATTTAATAAAATAAAATTTACTTCATGGTTTGGTAAATACAGATTTCCTTTGTTTACCTGTTCAAATGAGCAATGCCCTCTTTGACTTTAACCTACGTCATCAGAACCTGTTCTAGCGCCATCTTGACAGCCAATGGTATGATCAGAGATAGCAGTAGCACGCTTTATGATATGGTTTTGTTATTCAGATGGCATTCAGATTCTAAAGATGAATGGTGTAGAATTTGGTGGAAGAATGTATTGTTTGTATTTTCTCTTTCTACATTGAAAGTTTTTTTTTTCTTTTAATTATATTGACTGAAGCCCTCACCATCTGTTTTCTGTTGATAGAAATGTTTATACACCCAGGAATTACCACTCTTGTAGCATCAGACCTGGAAGTTTTGAGGTGGAGGAGGAGGAGGCTGACGGAATGTGTGCATCCTGGCCTCCCCAATAACTTTCTTTACTTTAAAGTCAGAGAAGTTCTACTTTTTGATTTTGAAGGTCTAGGTGAGAGATTCAATTTGAATTGGGAGAGGACGTTTCTTAATTTTTTTTTTAAAGTTTGCAGATCAGTGATGCTGATGCCTTTATTTCATAAGTAAGGAAATAAGTACTGTAAATGAGGCTCTTGTGTGTGTGTGGACGGGTGGATGAGGATTAGCTTGGAGACAGCAGGGTGGTTATGCTGGTGGAAGGTGTGAAGTGGTGGAAGAGGTTGTAAATATTAAGGTAATTGGAATGCTCATCACAGTTGGAGAGGCTGAATTGCTACATGATGACAGTATACATGCTGACAGTATAATAAATTGAAAGATCAGGGTCTAATCTTTCTCCCAAACCAGGGCTTTTATAGCAAATCAATCTTATGTTTTGAAAAAAATATTGCTATTCTCCATCATTTCCTGACATATCTGAATATTAGATGTATATGTATAGATCTTCTAATATTTTTTGAGAACAATGTATGATTTTTCATTTGCATTTGATTCTTATGTCAGGTAACATCACAGAGGTTTACTGTTCTTTCCAAAAAAGAATACTATTTCTTTATGCTCTGTCTCTGTGATCTTTATTCATTAAGCAAACTTTGATAGATTTTTATAAAATAAAGTTGTTTTTTAAAACCATGTTTGGTTATTCATTTGTTTAGGAAAGTAATCATCATTAACCATGACCGAACCACTCAACAGCAAACACTCTCAGTTAGGTGCGAACTGCAGTTGCATTATTATGATTCCTTCAACTTAATCGCCTCATTTGTACAACCATGAATGTTCATTGTCTGAATAAATGTCTAAATGAATTGATTCATTAATAAGCCTTTATGAGCTGTACTCTGTGTCAGGTATATTATTGGTTCCTGAGATACAGTAGTTAAGTAAGTAATAGTACATTTTCTCCAACAGTTCTGCCTAATGGCAGGGAAAGATGAACACACAGTTACAATAACGGGAAGCACATATCATGAGAGGAGTGTGTTTAAAGTACCGTAGCCCATACAAGTTTGGCTTTTTAAAAAAGGGATATTTATTGAGTTTAGGAAACAAAACTGAAGTGGGTGTCACTTCATGGATACTTTCAGAGTATATAATTAACTGAAGGGGTGATGAGGAAAGAATTCAAACTCTCAGAAATGATCTTTGTGAAATTTCTGACAGGCCTTTTGAAGATTAGTAATGTCCCAGAAATTTGGGAGGCTGAGGCAGGAGGATCACAAATTTAAGTTCAGCCTAGGCAAAGTCCTGTCTTAAAATAATAAAAAGGGATGAAAATGCATTCCAGGTAGAAGAAACTTGGAACATGCCGGGTATCTCAAAGTATTTGATGCCACTGGAGCAGGACAGATGATGGTGAGAGTCCTGGTAGAAAACTTCTAGACTAGAAAACATCTGAATTTCTTAATCCTGTGTTTACAGATTCTGGAATGGATAGAAGGCAAAGAGAGAAATATCAGAGCCCTTCTTTCTACAATGCACACTGTGCTATGGGCTGGGGAGACCAAGTGGAAACCAGTGGGCATGGCAGACCTGGTGACACCGGAGCAGGTGAAGAAAGTGTACAGGAAAGCTGTGCTGGTGGTGCATCCAGATAAAGTGAGTGCAGCCTGCCCTGTTGTCTCACTTGTCGGAGCCTCATTTCATTATTTTATGAGCATGTATCAACACAAAACACTTTGACTTCGCTGGTTGATTAGTCCATTTATTCAATAAAACTGATAAGTCCATGGGTTAAAATGAGATGTTTAAATAGTTAATCTTCATGAAGTGGGCAAATCAAACTATATAATACGAATAATGCAAGAGGGATTTACAGAGATGTGCATTCACCAGTCACTTAGTGTTAGGGCTTGGAAGTAATGCTGACCTATAGTCGTATCACTGGGCTGAGAGCTAGACAAACAAAAACTTTTCTCCTTGGAAGATTTTAGCAGAATGGCTAGCTAGGATTGTATTGAAAACTCTTTAGAATGTAGTTGGCAGAGTTGGTGAGAATCGACAAGATTTTTAAAATGGAACTAAACCTCATCATTATTTTGATACTGTCCATTTAGGCTCTCATGTACATATGCACACAAGTGCTACAAACTATCAGAAACTTCAGCTACCTCACAGCCCAGTTGCAGTTCATATAATCCATAGAAACAGAGCAGCATCATCTAGCTGTCAGATGAACTGTACCAGTCACCTGATATGAAGTTATCATGGAAAACCTCTCCTGGGAATATGTGCTTCAGTCCCCTGTATTTGATTTCTGCCTCTCGATACTTTTTCTGACTACTTTGAATAGAAGAATTTAATAAGAAACAACATTAATGTTTGAATTTCAGTCATTTGAAAGGGCAATAGCAGTTCCCCAAAACATTTTACATCCTTTCTGCCCTTCTTATGAGTCTCAAAGAATTTAACTTTATTAGAAATTGGAAAATAAGAGTTCAGAAATGCAATCAGTTGGAAACAGGCTGTCATTAAGCTTTAGGATTTGGTAGATACCTTTGGAAAATGGAGATGCATCTTTTGTTGCCGAATAAGCTCTCTGTAATCTTATGGATGAATTACTACTACCTTATGTGAATTTCCAGGGGAGGTCATAATAATGTAATCACATAGATTAAAATAAAAAAGGAAAGTGACTTAATAGAAAAGCATTTAAATTATGTAGAACCCATATTAGCAGTGAACCGAATATAAATATAGTTTTTATCTGTGATATCTAAATGTATGTTTTTGTTCTTTTTTATAGGCTACTGGGCAACCCTATGAACAATATGCAAAGATGATTTTCATGGAGTTAAATGATGCCTGGTCTGAATTTGAAAACCAAGGCCAAAAGCCCTTGTATTAATTTGTGAGCTTTTCTATCTTGGCTGCAGACCTTTGTTAATGCTTAGTGTGTATCACAATTCTGAGGTTTTCACAGATGAACCAAAAATACCAATAACATATTTCCAGTACTAAACTAACTGTCAAATTACTCATGAATTAGTTTCTCATGATATAAAGAATGTGGATGTTTGGTTTTTCAATGTCCCTGCCATAAAAAGATCCAAAGCATGAAAGGAACTTTAAGTGAGATGATCTTGCAGGGATACAACATTCCAGCCTGCCCTTTGGGGAGCCTACTCAGCATTTTGCCTGGGGAATGGAAAATTGAGGCCACCAAAAGTAAAGGCATCACTCCATCTCACTGTCTGAGAGTAAAATTAATGAACAAAAGTGAAATAGAATTACTTGGATTTCTTGATAGTTTTAAAGATAGTTTTAATTTCTCTTGGAAATACATAATTTGAGTGATGGCTTTACAAAACTTCCAGGAACAGAATCACCAAGTATTTTTTTAAAATGGAAATTTACTATGGCCTTCATCATAACAGTATATGTGTCTTTTGGTTAAGGGCACTAACAGCTATAAATGATGTTAGATTGAGGGAAGGGATTATGCTATATTCCAGTGATTGCCACCCACTCTTCTTGGATAAGATACAATTTAGTGCAAATGTTGGCTAAAGAAAATAGGGACTGTGAAGCTATAGAAATCTTTATTTCTATCAGGATGTTGGGCTGTTCTCTTCCTGTCCCTTTAGAAAACTGTAGTTGATTAAAGAGAAAATTTTAATGCTATCGCAACTCCAAACCTGGTTTGAAAGACCCTCCTAATTTTTCCATAAGACTTAATGTTTTTCTTTACTTAGCCAAGAAAACATTCTTAACTGAAAACAGATTGTAAAGCAGTTTGGCCCATTCACGATTTGTCAGGACCAATAGCTAGTATGGACTTGGTAAACACCAAGTTTGTGAGTGGTTGTCATAAGAACAGCCCTGATACTGTTGAGTAGAAGAGAACTGTCGTGGGAAGTAAGCTGCATGCCCCTCAACAGAGTCACGGAGCTTGGGATTTGCTTTGAGGAACCAGGTCCCCTCTTCTCCTCTGGTGAATCTGGATCCTTTGGATTATTGCAGTGGGGTTTATGGTTTTAAAAGTAGCTGTGGGTCCATAGGAGCAGCATTCACATAGGGACCTTTGGGAAAAAAAAGCAAGAATGAAACTTTTCCAGACCTCAGACTGGCTGGATCTCAGCTCAGTGCTTTGGCAGCTTCTCATTTGGAGGAGTCATCTGTTTGCTCTTCTGTGATTTCAGTAGATTCTTGGTGAGCACGTGCACAAGGCAGATGGGCAAGAAGATTTTCATGCTGGTCTTTAAAAGTTTATGATCAATTGTTGTGAAAGCTTTCAAAAATTGTTTTTAAAAGACAATCATTGGGTTTTTTTGTTTGTTTGTTTCTGTCTTAAGTTTGTTGTGGCAAACTGTACTGGAAAAGCAGCATGTCAAAAATACTTTAGGTTCTACACAAATCTCTCTCTCTCTCTCTCTTTTTAGTTATAAAGGTTCATTATTTATTTTATTTCACTGACAAAGTGAAACTTGCAGAAAATGTTCTCTTTTTAAATATGCAGCTGTAAACTGTTCGAGGTAACCATAACAAATTAGGTGTTATTTATTAACGTATTATACAATAATGTTTGATCCAGTATGTGCTTGTCTTATTTAAAATTGGAATGTGAGACATGTTGCTGTGACCTGTTTTTTCTTTTCTCATTCACATTTGTAGATATTGTGTGAACTACAGTATATAATGATAATAATTAAAAGGCTATTATGTGGATGTCACGTACATTTTGAAATGATAGAACTATATATTAGCTTTGTATCATGTTTGGATAATTCATTAATGTTCACAGTTTAAAACATCATTAAACACTATGTAATTAGCAATGAGAAAGAATCTTATTTAAATTTGGGGGGCTCCCCCTCTGTTTTCCAGATACATTATAATTCTGGACCCCTATTTATCTCAAAACTCTTTAACAAATGCAGACCAACAGGTTTTTTGCATTCCTTTTAAATATCTGGTTGTGACAGAGCTTGTTGTTGATCAGGTTCACTGTTTCATTCATATTTATTGTAATATATTTTTTTGTTTTGTAAATATGTTATACACAACAAAATGTGATTGGTCTAAAATATTTGTAATGTATATTAAATGGCTCCAAAATATTTTTAGAAACCTAAGTTATTTTTGCACTCAATGACAAACTTGAATTATACTTTCTGATGTGATTCACTTCTGAAGTTCTGGGAAAAGAATATGAAAAGCATATAATACATTTGCACCAAAGTATAACTTGACAGGATTTCTTGACTTGTACTTTATTCTCCCCTTCCATCTCTCTCTCTCTCTCTCTCTCTCTCACACACACACACACACACACACACACACACACACACTGATCATTCTACATGAATATTGTGTTTCAAAAAGAATCTGCATGGAAATCCTGGTCTCCTTTCTTAGAATATTAATGGATTTTAAAAAGTGCATTTCTGTGCTGATACTCCAAAATCAATCCTAGAAGTCTGAGGCTTTATCATAGAAAGTCTCGGATATTTTAATTCTTTAGGGACAGAAGTTGCAGATTCATGCTGAAAATCCAAAGTATATGACCCATCACTGTACTGTCTACATCTGGGAGATTGCTGAAGTTGGATCCCAGTGCCACTGAAGAAACATCATGGTGTAAGGAATGAGCACAAAAGTTGAATTCCTGAAACAGTTATCACAGCAACAGGTCAGTTCCTGCTGGAAATACTGATCAGGGAATTTAGGTCAAAAAGCAGATTTTGATTTTTCTAAAGATAAACCATTATGTTTGGACATAGTGGTATGTGTTGCTTTGAGACCAAATGATTGGGTCTGAATTCTTTTTTCCACTTACAGACTGTTATATTGGACAAGTTTCTTAACCTCTCTAAGTCTTTATTACTTGTAAAATAAAATCCTAAGGCCCCCGTGGTAGAAGAATTAGGGACTGTGTGTGTCACTTCTTATCAAGAGGGTACTATCATAACTACTGTTACTGTTACTGATAATAAGACAAAGTGTATGTATCACTTCTGGTCAGCCTTAGGGCTGGAATTCAAATGAGACCTCAGGTTGCGGGGAGTGTATAACATCAGTAGAAAAAGGCAAATGAAAGTAACTTACACCTTGACACTTATTCCTGTCTCCTTAGACTGAAAGAGACCTGTATACATAATGAATAGTTTTGCACTGTATGTTCTATAAAGGGAATGGCTGTGTCACAAGAAGTGGTGGCTGATAATTAAGAAGGAAAACTATTTACTGATTTTAATTAGTGCTCTGTCATACTTGTGTTTAAATCATGCATTGACCTGATATCCCATCCCAGTGCAAATATGAAACCTGGCATCTATCTTCCATGTACTGCTTTGTGTGTGTTTCTTTCTCACTTAATTCTTAGGGAAAAAAGATTTTTTTTTTTTTTAAGAGGCGGGTTGTGCAAATCCCATTTTAGGAAGTGGGAACACAGAAGTTTCTCTGAGTTGGGTTTGAGGTAAATGTTTTCTGCAGGATAGGGAGAGTTAATACTATATTTGGTATTCTTACTAATATTTGTTGTGTTGGGACTTAGAAACTGGTACCACAAAGTCAAGGCCTCAGAAGCAGCTGCAGAAGCAAACTTCCTCTGTTTACCTTTTCCGGTCCTCCTGTTTCTCATCAGAAATTCTTCCCAGAGACGGGCCATAGAAGCTAGAATTCCTCTTCCCTGAAGTGGTCATAGAAACCAGAACCCTTTTCCCCTCAAGCCAGCCATAAAACCTAAAAACATTACTGTTTCTTTCCCCACTTAAGAGTTGTCCATAAAGAAATTCTTTAACCTACTTTGTTTGATGGTGGGTCTCAAGATCCCTATTTCAGAAAGGGTCCTCCTGCATGCCCTAGAGGATCAAAGTGTACATAGAGAGGCCAAGACAAATCTGGGCAGGCCTTATTGGGCTTACCCTCAGTCTAGCACTATTGGGTCATACCCCTTTTGATCAACCATATTTCTACATGACTGTCCATGCTTTATTGAATATAAGCATAAAAATGAGTAGTTCATCTTGAGTCTTTGGGTCTTCAATCTAAAGACTCCTGTGTCTCATAAAACTAGATTAAATAAATTTGTTATGTTTTTCTTTTGTTAACCTATCTTTTGTTATGGGATGATGACCATGAACTTTTATGATGGGAAGGAGAGGGATCATACCTTTTTTTTTACTTATAGTTAATTCAATCAATATTTTGTGTATATCATATGCAAGATACAAATAGGTAGGGGAATATCAAATCAAGAAATGGTTTGAATGCCCTGTTAAACAAAAGGTGTTACTATTTTTCTTTTTAAAGAGAGAGAGAGAGAGAAGAAATAGAGAGAGAATTTTTTAATATTTATTTTTCAGTTTTCGGTGGACACAACACCTGTATTTTATTTTATGTGGTGCTGAGGATCGAACCAGCACCCTGCGCATGCCAGGGGAGCGCGTTACCACTTGAGCCACATCCCCAGCCCCTGTTACTATTATTTCTAATTACTACAATTCCTGCATTTGGTTCATAGATCCATTGTGGACTTTGATCTCATTTTTCCAGTTGGCTAGTTACCTTTGAGGCCTTAGCTTTTCTGTATGTAAAATGGAGATAAAATCTCGCTCATAAAGTGAGAGAATTGAGTGCAAGGAAAAAATATTAAGATTCATCCCAAGAATTATATGGTAGTCTTAAGCAGCATGACACAGGCCATAAATCTTATACATCTAAGTAACCTACTGATGGCAGATTGGAGATAGGAATTCAAGGTTTTACTTTCTGTTCTTGAGAAAATGTGGAATGGCTAAATGGAAGAACAGTTTTCTCAGTGCAACATCTGGCAAAGCAAAAGCAGATTTTTTTTAGGAGATAGGTAAAGCCCCTGGCAAGATGACTTTCTCTCTAGAGTGTTCAGTAAACTAAAAGGACAGCTGGTGTGGTCAGAGAGCTACTGGAGACAAACATTGTCTCAGAATGTTATGATTCCAGACATAACCCTGGAGCAAACATTTCAGTTTTTGCTTCTCGCTGTCTTTCATATTTTATTGGCAAGCCTTAGACACTCAAACCAAGCAGTGACTCTGAAGTCTTGTCAGTTTTCTCCAGAGTCATTTCTGTTCTGTGGGACTGGCCTCAGGCTAACATGGAAGTTTCCAGCAAACCTCTAGATGTGACTTTTCCCAGTCACAGTGGGTGGTTGAGAATGGTGGGGATATGAGAAGATTTAATCCCATAGAAAATCCTCATTAATTTAAGATGGAAAAGGTTCTACTTCCTCTCTAGAATAAATTGGTGCTTTATAAAGGAGCTAAAAAAACCCTCATCAGGGTTTGGCTGATGAGCAGTTTCTCCTGGGAACTCTAACAGGTACAGTGGTGTCCCCTTATCCACAGGGGATATGTTCCAAGAGCCTCAGTGGATATTTGGAACTGCAGATAGTGCTCAACTCTATGTTTTTTTTCCTATACATACATGCTTATGATAAAGTTTAACTTATAAAATAGTCATAGTAGATTAACAATATTAAAGTAGAAAAATTATAACAATGTAGTGTAATCTAGTTATATGAATGTAGTTTCTCCCAAAATGTTTTAATGTATTGTTATTTTTTTTCTTACTAAGTGAAGAACTTTTTTTTCCTTACTAAGTGAAGAACTTTTTTTTCCTTTTTCACTTTCCAACCTCCTCTAAATAGCTATGTGGCATAAATCCTACCACTTCTGACCTTCTCTCCCTAAAGATAAAATGAAGCATTTAGACCAGATGGTTTCTAAGGTCAAGACAAAACTCCGTGAATAAGGAATAAGAGATCTAAAGATTAGTCTTGGTTACCTTCAGACTTGAGAGCTCCTAGGTACAAAACTAATAGTTTTATTCATTTAAAGGTTCCTGAAAGCTTCCGATATAAGAAAAAGCCTACATGATGTATAAGTGAACGAGGTGGGGGAGACGGCTCTTTAGTTTATTGAAAGTACTAACGTTGTATTAAGTAAAACGAGACTAAGCAAATGTCAAGATCTTAAGGAGAGGGCTGTCTCCTCCAGCCTTGTTCCTTGATGCTCCTGCCTCCAACCCCATACAGCCACGTAAATACAAACAGGCACACACACGAACACATACACACACACGGGGGCTCAGAAAGCAAAATACGGTTTGCAAGTGGGTGTTTTATCCTCAACTGATCCTAACTTTTCCTCCTGTGTTCTCCTTTCTCCCCATTTCTCTGTCTCCAATCTTAGGCAGGTTTCCTGGCAGCCAGGATCGCGGTGATAACCAGCTGAAGAGTTTAGGGGAGCCTCTCAGCCCGAAGTCTCAACCCACAGATTTGAGGGCGAAACTTGGGGAGGGTTCGAGGAATACCCCGAGGGCTCAGGACCTGAGAGGAGGGCCTTAACCCGGCGTAGTGATTACTCAGGAATAGGATGGGTGTGCCGAGGAGGGGCTTTAGAGCAGGCAGAAGGACTTTGTGAGCTGGGGGCGGGGCTCTGAGACTGGGGGTGGGGCTCTGGACCAGCGGGGGCGGGGCTCTGCGTGGCCGGGAAGAGATCCCAGGCTGATAGGGGCGGGGTCGTGAGTGTCAGGCATCAGGACCAATAGAGGCGAGGCTCCGCGTGGCAGGGGCGGGGCCCTGTACTTCCAGGGGCAAAGCCCTGCATGGCCGTGGCGGGGGCGGGTTCGGGATCCGCGGCTCAGCCTTGGCCTGGGCCTGGCCTGGGCGGGGGCGGGAGCGGGGGCCCGGTGGTGGGAGGAAGCCGGAAGCAGCCGCGGCCCTAGTTCTGGAGACATGGCGGGCGTTAAAGGTACATTCGCGACCCCTGGCCCGCACGTCTTGAGGTGCTGTCGCCACCTCCGCTCTGGGCTCAGTCTGGAACTGCACCTTCAGCGCTCTGGCGGGGTATCGCTTCCCGCAGCCCCGCTGCCTTTCCCGCCTCTCCCGCTGGGGAAGCCTTCGCCCGCTCCCCTTGCAAGATGGGGTGCGGGCCGAGGGGCGTTTCGGGGAGCCTCTGAGCTCCTTCGTAAACCCCTGGCCTTCGCTCTCCTGGCGTCTCCCAGGCCCCGAGGTGGAGCCGCGCCTGGCAGCGGTGACTTCCTGGGAGACTCGGGCTAGCCCGGGAGCATCACTCCCAGGCTTCTCCTCAGTTCTTCGGAGCGCTTGCTGTCCCCTGCCGAGTTTTTAAACAAAGGTTCCACTTCCTGACACGTCCACCCTAACTAACGCTTCTCCTCCTGTTTTCCTTCCCTGTTGACTTTCTTACAGAGGAGGCTTTGTCTCCAGTGTGCTGGGCATTGGAAAACTTAATCCTCTTGTTCCTAATGATTTTTCCATATAGGCAGAGTTGACTGCAGGCCAGTGTCAATGGCAAACACCGAGAAATGCTGTATTTCTCTTAATCTTGGAACATAGATTAAGTGAAATATTAACACTACTTTCTTCAGTGTTTTCTGTATTCATCTGTAGACAGACAAGAAAGTAGTGTACATGCAGAATGTGTTTTTGCGTTGGGCAATTGATGGGGGAAAAAGTATTAAGAACACTTTTCTAATATGTGCGTCTTCAGAAGAATGAGGGGGAAGAAGTTATTGGAAGGCTTCCTGTTATTTGGGTAGGAAACCATTCCGTTTCAGATCTTTCTAATAGGAGCATAACTTGTTTCTGTGTTGGAGTTTCTGTTCTTGAAATTCATACACAAAGATCTTCCCTCTCCAGTTAATCAATATCTGCTACATAAACATGTATGTAGTATATGTATATGTGCGAATGCATGTGTGTTCAGTATGAATTTCTGAGTGTGTGAGCTGTGAGTAGCAGACACATTTTATTATTTCTGGCTGACTTTTATACTCAATATCAGTTGAGTAAACATGGTTTACCTGGACGGTGTCTCGTGTTTAATATATCCATTTGAAGCCAGTGCAGAAAACAGATGTCAAATATCTCAGTATTACAGTTTTTACTACCAAATAGTAACATTTTTGTGTATATGTTGGCTGTATTAAAAAAGGAAATAGAATATGAAACTGAAAAGGACCAAGAGAAGAAAGTATTTTGCAGATAAGTGAATTCAACTTTTATTAAGGAACTGCTGTATATTGGAGACTTGGGGTGAAAAAATAAATGAGATGTTATTGTTGAGTGATGGCTGGAAATAATTATATTACTATGTAAGTGTCTGCAGACTGCATAGATGCAGTGGGAGCACATAGATGTTGTAGTGGTTTGAATCATGCCTCCCAGAAAGATATGTTCAAGTTCAAACTCCCTAGAGTCTGTGAATATGACCTTATTTGGAAATAGAATTTTTGCAGATGTAATCAAGTTATTACTGATTTAGGATAACTCTAGTGCAATGATTGACATCCTAAGAAGGTAAAAATTTGGAACTGGAGGGAGAATATCATATGAATACAGGAGAGAAAATGAAGTGATGTATTTGTAAGCCAAAGAACACTAAAGATTGAGGACAACATTAGATATTTAGGAAAAGGTATAAAAGGACTGTCCCTTGAAGCCTTGAGAGGGAATACAGCCTGTCAACACTTTGATTTCAGAAGTCTATTCCCCAGAAATGTGAGAAAATAAATTTCTGTTCTGAGTTACCCAGTGTGTGGTTCTTTGTAATGGCAATCCTAGGAAACTAATATAGATAGGATTGCTTAACCCCATTCCAGGGAGGAGGAGGGCTGTTTTTACAGAATAGCAGTGCTTCAAACATAAACTAAAGGGGTCCATAAGGCTTCATCTGCTGAGGGATAGGGCTCAAGTGGAATATATTCCAGTGGAGAGAACAATGTGATGTGGGACAGGGGGCAAGAAAGAACTTGCCTTGTTTTTTTAAGGAGAGTGAGCAGGGTTGAAACTGGCAAAGAAGTTGGGGTACGTGGTGGAACAACTTGTAGGCTGTGGAAGTAATTACAAATTGGTGACACCAGCTGTGTGTATATTTGAAAGGTCTTTGCTGTGTCAGGAGGATGGATTGGAAGAGTTACGGTTGGCAGCTGGCAAGAGATGATAAGAATTTGCATTTGGACAGTAGGAGAGAGTTCAAGAGAAGAGGGTAGATTGAGTGAAGTCAGAAGTACTGAGCCACCCTGACTTACTGATTTACTTGCAAGGTAGATTGCAGCTCTGGTCGGTCCTCAGATAGAACCTCCAAAGGGAAGAAGAAGTGCAAGGTTGGGAGGAGTGAGTGGGTTTGGACTACTATAACAGATAGAACACAGACTAGGTGGCTTAAGGTCATTTTTTCTGACAGTTCTGAAGACTGGGAAGTCCAAGATCAAGGTGCAAGCAGATCTGCTGTCTGGTGAGGGCCTGTTTCCTGCTTTGCTGATGGCTGTTTAAGAATCTTCACATGGTGGGGCGGGGTGTGGGGGGGTGAAGATAAGAACCCTTTATGGAGACTCCACACTCATGACCTCCTCTAAACCTAATTACCTCCCAAAGACTCCCATTTCTAGTACTGTCTCATCAGGAGTTAAGACTTAAATATATGAATTTAGCCGGTATACAAACATGCAGTTCATAATAATAGTCATTTGCTAGTCAAAAGTAACAATAAAATAAGTAAATTGCTACATTGCTTAAAATTTGGGAATTTTTTTCTCTTAAGTGGAAATTTTATTGAGATGTATTCACATACTATAAAATCAGTCTTGTTAGTGTAAAATTCCATGGCTTTTGGTGTATTTACAAGGTTATGTGATCATCACTATCATTTAATTCTGTAACATTTTATAACCTCCCCCGAAAACCTCTGTATCCATAAGTAGTCACTCCTCAGTCCCTCTGGTTCCTCTACCTCCTGGGAACCACTGATATGGAACTTTTAACTCTTGGCTTTATATTTCACAGCTCTTGTGGCATTATCCTTCACTGGGGCTATTGGGCTGACTTTTCTTATGCTGGGATGTGCCTTGGAGGATTATGGGTAAGTAACCATTTCAAAAAGAACTATTTTTTTTGTGTGTCTTTGTTACTATTAGTATGGGAATTAGAGAACTTGATCAATTTAGCACCAATCTCTAATTCTTGAGTTAGTGAAGCCAAAATTATGGATTCAGTCCCTGATTCAGGGTCAGGTGTATTGGTGCAGAGAAGAGTTCTTTTTAAAGTAAATGTATTCATTTAATAAACTGTTGAACTCCTACCTGGACCAGCTGGGGATATGAGAATGAGTTTGGTTAAGGAGCATTTGGTTATAGTTGTGAGAGACTGGCAAACTGTTCAGTCAATAAGACAGCAGCTGTAGTGGAGATGTGTGCAAAGTACAGTGGAACTTCGAGAAAGTACATCTCAGCCAGGCACAGTGACATATACTGTAATTCCAGCAACTTGGTGGGTGGGGAGACTGAGGCAGGAGGATTGCAAGTTTGAGACCAGCCTCAGCAACTTAGCAAGAACCTCAGAAGAGACCCTATCTCAAAATAAATACCTAAGAAGGACGGGAATGGAGCTCAGTGGGAAAGTACCCCTGGATTCAATCCCTAGTACCAAAAAAAGAAAAAAAATAGAGGGAGAGAGAGGTTGAGGGAGTAATCTCAGTTTCCTGGGGACAGTCATGGAGAGCTGCAAAGCAGGGGTATTTAAGGTAAGAGTTGGTGCATAAATAAGAGTTTCTCCAGCTGATGAAACAATAGAGGGCATTCCAGGGAGAAGGAACAGTCAACAACTTTCTTTATTCAACAGCTCACAAAGGGAGGTTTGGAAAGTATGTGATCAGCCTCTGCATAGCATCTGGAGGAGGTTAGGTTTTGTAGTGCAGACAGGGAGCTGGGAAAATATCTTGAAAATGGGTGTGGCAGGAGGGCATTTTGTTAACAAGTCATTCTGGCCAAAATGTGAGACTAGATAGGAAAGTGCTGAGACTACAGTCAGGTAGAATATTCTAAGGGGCCATTATCATGAACCAAACAAAACTGAGGCCTGTGGCAGTGGGATAGAGAGAAAAGGAGAGTGGTATTGGCAGTAGAAATAATAGGTATTATTAATTGATGTCAAGACCGAACTAGGGAGAGTTCCTGGATGTCTTAGCTGATTGGCTTGAACAAATTGACAGAAGATGGTGTGACTAAGACCAACTGGAGTTAACGACATTGATAAAAGTTCAAATTTATCGTGGATGAATTAAAAAGAACTATCACAGGAATTCCTAAATATAATCTAAGCAATAATTTATATTTGCTCAGAACTTTCCTAGCTGCTGCTTTATTCTAGTCTTAGGGATAAAAGTTATCCTCATAGCTAGGAAACCAAAATCTGGAGTAGTTAAAGATTTTCCCAAATTATACAGCAATAAATAAGTGGCAGAGATGGGAGTGAAATCCGTGTTCTGATTCTCTTGACCAAAAGTTTTTCCATTCCTTTACTAGTTCTAAATTCAGGTGTTTTAATTCTCTGTGATACACTCACTTTGTCTCTGTAAGTTTAAAAAAAAATCCATTACTATTACAAAGAAATTAATTTTATGTCTTCACAATGGTGACTCATGATGATACCACATGTCAGCAAACTGGCCCACAGGCCAAATATAACCTGCTGCCTATTTTTTATAATTAGTTTTATTGGAACACAGCCAACCTCATGTGTTTGGCTATTTTGGGTTGTTTTGTACTACAATGAGAGTTGAGTAGTTGAGACAGAGACTTTATTGCTTGCAAAGCCCAAATATTTACCATTTGGATCTTTACAGAAATATTTGTAAGCCCTTGGCCTACACATTTACTGACTAGTACTAAGTTTAATGTTTAAATTTTGTATATAAACAAGTTTTCTTCTACATAAACAGTTCTCTTAGTTAGACATTGTTTTCAATTACTATAATTGGAAACAGTCTTTCAGATTATTTTTGAAAAAACTGTCACTGTATTCCAGGAGAATTAAGAGCTCTTAGCTGTGGGCATATCAGGTGACAGCTGGGTCTGTTCTAGGCTCTTCCTCTATCTCTTTTCCTTGTTGGTAAAATGAGGACTTTGATCTAGAGATTCTCTTATTAGTGTTCCTTGCTGCAATATTGTTTGGTTATTCTTGAAACATACTATAATCTATTTTAAAATTGGAACTCTATACTCAGTGGTTTCAGCCTGAATTTTTTTGATGAAGGACCCTTTCCCTGCTCTTTGGTACCATCCTGCCTCCTCAATGACTGTGGCTGAAAGGGGAGACGTTTAATATCATGGCTTCACCCTTGCTCAGAGGTGCTGGCTCTCTGGGTGGGTCAGTGTTATCACAGTTTTGTGGTAATGTGGTAATGTGTAATATTATGGTGTGTATTTATAAAAATGAGTAAAGACTTTTCCCTTAAGGAATGAAGCATAAGAAATGTCTGATGAAGAAAAGATTATTTTTATTGTTTTTTTAAGTTATACATGAATAGATTATTTTTGAAGTATGCATAGAGAAAATACAATTGAAAATCAGATAATAAAAATTTTTAATAAATGCAAAGTAGTGAAATTTGGAAAGAAAATAGTTTTATTATTTTGCATTATAGTATTATTGTGATCTACCATAATAATCATTGGAGTACATCTAATGTTTTTACTAGGGAACTAATGTGTTTTCATACCTTCCATACTTAAAATTTATTTATTTTTTTCTTTCATTCAACAAGTATAAATGGAGGACCTCATTGTAGGCCCTGGAGATAAGTAATGATTGACCCAAACAAATCTAATCTCTGTTCTCATAATCAAGAAAATATCAGATGGGAATAGGAGCGTTGCAGAAAATTAGAAGTGGGTGGTATACTCAAGGTTGACCTCAAGTACTTAAGAATGAGTGGCCAGTGAAGCCACTTTTAGAAAGGGACATTTCAATTATGATTGCTATGAAGAGGAAAGAGGATTGCAAGCAAAGGGCACAGCTGGTACAAAGGCCCTAAGGCCAATATGAAGGCTTCTGAAGAGAATTCTCTTCATTCTCTTAAGAGGCTGAGAGAATGAAGAGAACATGGTGCAAAATGAATGGAAGAGAATGAAGTTAAGAGAATATGGTGCAAAATGAATGGAAGAAGTAGGTGGTACCAGATCATGAAAGTTTTTGTGGAGCAGGGCAGGGAATTTGGGTTTTATTCTAAATCATTGAAAGCCTTCAAGTATACATGCACACAAAAGATCTTCATTAAATTAGCAAGTACAAGCCACTGTACTAGATTCTTTAGGGAAAGAGAGATGACTGTTAAGATTTATGCTCTTACAGAAATTGCAGGTCAGTTATACAGAAAACAATGTTTCTTGATTATACATTGTGTAGACATTTCTTAACACAAACTATATACATATTAATGAACCAATAATAGTTTAATCATCACTAACCTATTCCTGGTAGAAATCATCCTATATTATAGTATTCACAATTGATTCATTAATTTTTTGAACTTGACATTTAGAATAATTATTTTGAGGCAATAGTATGTCTTTAACTGTGACTTTTCTTTTTGGGTCTCCTCTGGGTCCAACTGACAGTGTATACTGGCCCTTGTTCGTCCTGATTTTCCACGCCATCTCCCCTATTCCCCATTTCATCGCCAAAAGAGTCACATATGACTCTGACGCAACCAGTAGTGCCTGTCGGGAACTGGCGTATTTCTTCACTACTGGGATTGTTGTTTCTGCCTTTGGATTTCCTGTTATTCTTGCACGTGTGGCTGTGGTAAGTTTTGTCTTCTATTGTTTTGTTTGTGTTGAGAATTTATTTGAAAAGCCTGTGTTAGGGACCTCAGTTTCATTTTTGTTGCTTAGACTTTTTTCTCAAGACCAGATAAATTTTTTACTTTCTCTACTTTAGATCTACTTTTCAGTATCTTGACCATGTTTTCAGATTGCTTTCTTTGTTTCCCCTACAACTTTTAGCCAGATCATGATTTCTTGTTTTTTCTACTTTAAGCTTTCTCTATTATTGTTCTTAAATCCCTGCCTGTTGAGTCATTAGGCAGTACACAGAGACTATACTAGCAATACTAATCTAACTACTAAATGAAAATCATATCAAATTACTTTGCAAATGAGGTCATGGACTTCATTCTCAATACAATAGGCGTACATTGAGGGGTATCTATGTAGCTACTAGAAGATACAGTGAATAAAATGACACCTTCACATCTGACATAGAAATTTTCTTTTTATCTCCAAAGCACACATTATTGGTATACTTTGTTGGATTCATTGTTGTTCATTGTGTTTTCTACTCTTTGCTTTTATTCTGCTCAACTCTATTTAAATTTCATGAAACTCTTATTAGGGGCTTTGAATGTTAGGTATGTGCACATCTTGTCTATTTGTTAAATATTAAATATCTTTGGAATATCTGCCGTTTGTAAAACATCAGGAATAAGAGTAGATACTAGTTTCCTTAGTATCTACTGTCTCTGTTCCCAAAGAATACAGACACTGTCCTGATAGGTAAGTATACTATAGATGTACTAAATAGAGTAATTGAAACCTGATCAGAATGTCAGAGGAGCACCAAGAAGAGAGAAATTATAACTGACCTTTGACAGGGCCTGTAAAGATAAATAGGGTTTTAATTAAAGTAAAGAAGACTTTTATATGGAATGGCACCCTATTGTGAAAATGCATGTTATGGAATAGAGAACAGTCCAATATAATGGAACAAAAAAAGAGTAGTTGAGATTAAAGTTAGTAATGTTGGTGAAGCCCGATTAGCAAGGATCTTGAACTCCTTGCCAGTTTCAACTTTAATAAGATGATGGAAAAGAATTGAATATTTTCAATGCAAGATTGTCATGGCCTTGTTATTCTTGTGCCTTGGACTAACTCTTCCTTAGTTTCACTATAAATATTTATTTTTTTCCTTTTAATACTGCCATCATGTTTTGGGAAGAAACTTTCATTGATGTTTCCGTTGGTTAAATTAAAGCACAAAATGCCCACTAGAGGGTACTCTCATCCCCAGTTGTGCTTCTGTAAAACCTTCTGCCAAGTTGGAAAGCTGTTTTCATTTGAATGCAGATTATTATTAAAGTTTTTACTTGCCTAGAAAAAAGCAAACAGATCCATAATGCTCCAATTCCTGTTTTCCATGAAAGAGGTCGGTGCATGCAGAATTTTCAGTACCAATATTATAATTGAACCATTTATAATCATACTACAAGTATTTTGCTTAAGGCAGTCATTGTCATCTGAAAATAAGCAGAGAAATATATCTAATAGGGAAAATGTTAAGGATGATACTAGACTTAATTAACAAGTATCACAGAAGCAATTAGACTAATTACTGAATAGTTCACTGTCCTCTGCCTGTTACATTACTAAGCCTTTTAGCAGCTTTCTGTAATATTCCATTGGATGTTTCTAATATAGATAATAGTAGAGATTTGCAAAAAGTAAGGATTTAATTCTTTTTTTTCTTTCTTGTATTTCAGATCAAATGGGGAGCTTGTGGCCTTGTGCTGGCAGGCAATGCTGTCATTTTTCTTACAATTCAAGGTTTTTTCCTGGTATTTGGAAGAGGAGATGATTTTAGCTGGGAGCAATGGTAGCACTTTATTTTGATAGAGAACATTGTATTCCTTAAGATTTGTACTGTATGTATATGTGTGTGCATGTGGTGTTTTACTATGGGATTTAATATGCTGGTTTTTTTATACCTTTATATCATGATCACTTTAAGGAAGACTTCCTAAGTAAAAGATGAGTTTAATTCCTAGATAATGGACCTCAGCTTTTACTGAAGTTGAAATATGTTATTTGTTTGGCTGTTCACATAGTTATGTTCTCAGAAAACATATTAACACAGTCTTTTAGACAGCTGCTCATTTATACAGGCCATCTAAACCTTTTGTGTGGAGGTGTGCTTAGATAGGTGAAGACACTGAAGCAGGTCTTTTATAGCTCAGAAACACTTGGCTCCCACTGTGTTGTAGACCCTTGCTTCTTAGAATGTGGTCCATAGACCAAGAACACCAGCATCTCCTAGCTTATTGGAAATATAAAATCTGAAGCTCTCCTGCCCACCACCCAGACCCAGTGCATTTTGATGAGATCCCAAGTGAATCATATTCACATTAGAGTTTGAGGAACTTTGTTATAAACATCACACCTAGCTTCCTTGTCTTCCCCTTGGATCGATCACTTACCCTCTCTGGGAGTCCTGCTCATTTGTGGGAAAAAAATTCCCTTATGTTGAGGAGGAGTTCAGACTCTCTTTGGTGTTTGTGAACTGTTCCAAACTGTAATATATGGGCAATTTCCCAAATTTGTGGAAAGTGTTTTCAGTGGGAAGCAAAGTCCTCACATCATCTGAAAGGCAGTGCCTTTTTCACAGTGCTAGGGCACAAAATAACCCAAGCCCCATTGGTATGCAGGAGAGGAAGGCTGGGCTGGAACCAGCCCCTGCTTTAGTTATGAGGAGAGAAGAATAGATAGGCATCGCTTTTAAGTTTCCCTTATTAGTCTTGCACTTCTTCCCAGCCCCTTCCTAATGCTACCTTATCCCAACTCCTCAGCAGTTCTGATTTGCCATTTCTTCTTGATGGCTCTGCCCTTCTCCTTTCTAAAGAAATATTGGAGCCAAGTGAGCAAGCCAAAAGCAAACTGCTGGAGTTTATTTACATGTTGATGTACTTAATGGTACTTCATTCAAAACTTTACTCCACCTTTAAATAAATCATTGGAAATAAATGTCATATTGTATCTTATGATCATAGTTTTTCTAACTCATCTTTTTGTCCAAGACCCATTGAGAAAAGAAAATATAAGAAATAGAACCATTTGATAAGAAGAAAGCCAGTGGTTTTTAAACATTAATGTGGTTGTTGATATATGTACAAAGCACTTCCATCTTGAGGTTTGTGATGTTAGTAACCAGCACACCCTTTGTGTGTTGGTGTGATATTGGAACCAGAAGAGAAAAGTGATATCTAAAAGAATAATGTGCAATGTTGGTTTTTGGCCTTGTATGTGATTTTATGTTTTTTAATATTCTGTGTACATATAGAATTGTTGAAGTTATTTGCAATATTTACATTGGGAAAATTACTTAGATACTTTGTAATTTTAACTGGCATTTTTAATCATGACACTTGCACTTATTGTATTATAATAAATTTCACTTTTAACACAAGAAAAGTTTAATGTTAAAACTTTATTCTGATGTTGTCTTGCTTAAAAGATAACAAAAAGTGAGAATTTCTTAATGCTTTGAAATTAAGTTTCAAGCAATAATCTGTCCTGCCTTAGAATAATAGCAATCTCTTTTGAGATACCATTTTGAATGTCTAGTTGGCTTGTAATAGTTTTTCTTTCCCTCAGATGGCAATAGTGACCAATTTATAGTACCTTTTGCAAAAGTATTCTTGTTGCTTATACATATTTCATATAACCAAGATAGCCTTAATATGTAGGCTTAAAGCATTACTTCTTGATTGTATTTCTAGAATGATACAAACTATTTGCAAAAAGAGCATTTGAAGTGATAGATTATTAGATTTGCTGTGTGTCTCAATAGAGAAGTATCAGTGCCCAACTATCATTTAAATAATATATGTCAGTTGGAAGTATACCGTCTATGAATGTATAATACAAAAGTCTTGTCCTCATGACACAAATTTTGGATATGTTTTTTTCCTTATAAAATGTTCCATTTTTCTATATATTGTAGAATATATTTGGAAATTCAGAGCATATGGATTATATTCAAATTGAGAATGCATTTTAAAAATTGCCAACAAGTTAGTACTCTTATGCAGCAACTGCCTAGTTCCAATTACAGTCCAAACAACTGTCTTAGAGGTAGGCTTTGTGTGTGTGTGTGTGTGTGTGTGTGTGTGTGGAGGGTGTACTCGGAATTTAACCTGGGGCACTTTTCCTGGTTTTGATCTTGTGATCCTCCTGCCTCAGCCTCCTGAGTTGCTGGGATTACAGTGTGTGCCATGGCACCTGGCTTACAGGTAGACTGAAATACTTTCCCACAGCAGTGTTACTATGAATTAGTGAATGAGTTCCGAGGCCAAACTTCTTAAGTCAGGCTAAAACCTTAATATAGCTGACCTGTGATACTGAAGCCACTTGTCTGGTTTTTGGATCTTAGAAATAGGGTAGTGTGAACTGTTTGGGAAAAGAATAGTGGAAGTTTCCCTCCCTTTTCTTAAGTACAAGGTCTTTCTGATATTACTTTTTGCACTGCCTCCTACCTCCTTTTCTCCTTATGGTCCAGGTATACTTCTGTGAGTTTTGCTCACCTGTTCTCCCAACCATCAACCTTCCTCCTAGCCTGCTGCACCCCACTCTCCAGGTTCTTCCTATTTCAACTTCAGTCACCTTCCCCCTCTTTTTTTTTCTTGCCATCTGTTGTTTGATGTTTTTTAATTTTTTTATTTGTTTTAATTAGTTATACATGACAGTAGAATGCACTTATATACTTTCATATATCATACATAGATGGGATATAATTTCTCATTTTTCTGATTATACATATTATAGAATCACATTGGACCTACAGTCACATACATACATAAAGTAATAATGTCTGTTTCATTCTGCTCTTTCTTATCCCCAGATCCCCTGCCTTCCCCTCCTATCACTTTTCTCTACCTAATCTAAGGTAACACTGTTCTTTTTTTTTTGCATTACAATTCTTAACACATATATACCACAATTTTTGTATCTGTATATAAAGTATGTCAACACCCAATTCAAGTCTTCATACATGTACTTTGTATAATGATGTCCATCACATTCCACCATCCTTGCTAATCCCCTGCCCCCTCCCTTTCCCTCCCATCCCCATGTAGAATTCATCTATTCCTCCCATGCTCTCCCTCACCTTCCTCATCTTGTTAATCAGTTTTCTAAGTATGGCAAATATCATGTTCTGCACTGAAAAAATGAATGACATATGATTTTCCTCTGCACATCTGAAACTCTGGATACCTGCAATAACCCTAGTGTTGCAGCTGGATTTTTTATAAGAGAATGCCTCCTAACCCACCAACACTCATTCACAAAGAATGGCTACATTTCCAAGTAAAATGAAAAATATTCCAGCAAATTAGAGAAGGATAGCAGTACTTTGGGACAGGGGCAACTCTGTCATAGTTCATCCCCCTTTGGGGCACATTCTCAGCTGGTGCTGTTTTCCATAGTTGTTTCTTTTGCTTTGCTAAGGGGCTGTTTTAGTCAGCTTTTTCATTGCTGTGACCAAAAAACCTGACAAGAACAATTAGAAGAGTAAAAGTTTATTTAGGGTTACAGTTTCAGAGGTCTCAGTCCATAGAAGGCTGGCTCTATTCCTCCAGGCTCCGGATGAGACTGAACATCATGGGAAGAGTGGGAGAAGAAAGCAGCTCATATGATGATCAGGAAGCAGAGAGAGAGACTCCACTCACCAGGTGCAAAACATAAATCCCAAAGACATGCCCCCAATGACCCACCTCCTCCAGCCACACCCCACCTGCCATTAGTTACCATTCAATTAATACCATTGTGGATTAATTCACTGATTGGGTTAAGGTTCTTATAACCCAATCATTTCTCCTTGCATATTCTTGCATTGTCTCACACATGAGCTTTTGGGGAACACCTTATATCCAAACCATAATAGGAACCCACTTATTTTTCTAACGTTTTCTGAAGTTCTTTACCTATGAGGTAACTTTTTGGTGAAGACTTTTCTAGACACTGATATGCTTCCTTATGTTAATAACATTCCTGTGCTCTCAGGCAAATGCTCAGATGATGTCACAAAAACATGCTCTTTTAAAGTCTGCAAAATTCAAATTTTGTATGCTAATAGAACCAAAGTATTATGAATGCTTTAGCATTTTCCAAGCATAGTAATTAGCTCATAACTGGGAAGCATTTCTGCAGATGAATGCAAGCTGTGCATTTTAATTCTTTTTTGTTTTGTTTTGCCTCATAAAGTTCTTATTTGCAAGAAATCTCAGTGTGTAAATAGCTCCTGATTTATAACCTTTCAAATAGCCATCCCAATGGGGTGGAACAGTTATACATAACCACATACTTATGAAAGATCCCTGAGACTGCTTTAGGATGCATTAACATGTGTGATGAGAATGATTATTTTTATAATAAAACTTGTCATTTATTCTTCAACAAAGGCATTTATATAAATTATTAAATGGAAGAGTTTATATCTTACTTTGAGATGCATTATATTTGGGAAGGAGACCAGTAGATTTATTTTCCCAGTACTTTTGTCTGGATAACCATTATGCGAATTTGACTGGTTTTGATCCCCTACGTTGTTGAGGAAAAGTGGTTCAGGAATGTCATGCTGACTGGAAGGAATGTACGCTCTAATTACAATTTTACTGTGGCTGTCACTCCCCAGGGTAGAGGTAGGAGTTTGGGGGCAACAGTTCATTAAGACTGTGCTGTGTTGGAAATGCAACAAAATTTAACACTTAAGAAAGAAGAAGTAATGTACATACTCTGAAGAGTTCTTTGGGGCACTACAGAAAAGAATGCATTAGTATAAAATACTACTTAATGAATAATGTGTCCCCCTTATGCATTTAGGGAAGATTTGATCCAATGTTTTGCAAGTTGACTTAAGCAACTAGGTTATAAACAAATTGCATTAGAGAAAAAAAATTTAATTAGTTATTTCTTTGTGTTGCTCAGCTAAGTGTACAGTTAAATTACTAGATACAGAAATTTGATAGCAGCGTAACTATAAAATATCCATAAGAAAAAATGGTTCCCAGGGAAAATCGATGTAACCATTTTAAAACAATCCATCTTCAGTACTAGGTATAGGCCAAGTGGTCCTAATGTCAAGATTGCTCACTTGAAGAACAGCACACGTGGAGACTTCACACATTATCTCTCAATGCTAATTATATCTTTATCAAAATAAGATATGCCTATTTCACATACTTTCACAAATTATTAGATATTAAATTAAGCTGGTACATTCATTGTTTTCTTCTCAGAGTAATAAAAAATTAGTTCAACTGGAGCTGGATAATCATTTTAATAATTTAAGGAATAAGTGTACCTGTGCTGCTGTCTCAATACTTTCATTTCCTCTGTAGTTGAGAAAATTTGTGTCATCATATTCTGTAAAGTTTCATGATTCTTAGAGCCTTCCTCCCCAAACTGTATGCTCATTCCCCTGACAAATCCAGAATTCTTTAGCACTTTCAACATCAACACTGTAGCCATACCATTTGTGGTTCTGTGACAATGCTTTTGCTAAAATCTATTTACCACTGATGGAAATGAGTTTTAAACACAGGCTTTAATATGATGCTTGATTTACTTAAGATACCACATTAGTATTTGTGGTGAGCCTCACAGTGGTACCTACGGTAGCATACCACACCTGGAGTCCCAGTGGTTTTGGTTGTAGGCACCTCTGTAACCTCCTTACTGTGCTGAGCATGTGTTTGCTGTTAGGGACATTTTCTGTCACCCTGAGACAATCTAGCCAGACACTCTGAAAAAGAGATTCCCCACCTAACACTGGTACCAACATTTGTTTTTCCTATAGCTTATCAATAAAGGGGAAGTTGAAGGTTATGGGGCAAACATACTCAGCTAGTTTGAAGATGGGACTTTTTTCACCCAAGACACATAAATAAGAGATGAGTTCAAGGTGTTAAATAAAACATTTATGAGGTCCAATTAATGGCATAAATAGGTACTGTTGTAGGGACAAACGAGGCAAGGCACCAAAGATAGCAGGAAACAGTTTTATTTGGCTGCAGCCAGGTTCAGAGGGCACAGCTTTTGTGGTAATCAATTAATTCTCTGAACCCGAGTTCAGGTAGTTTCAGAGTTTTATACCCAGCATCTAAGGGGAGGGGCTCAGAAGTTCACAGTCTGCAAAAGTTCACATAAAAGCAGCTTTTTCTTTCACTGTTCTGGGCAAGTTAACCCTTCAAGGACAACCCCTGAGAAGGGGAGAGTTTCTTCTCCCCTTTCTTTCCTCCCCCTGCCAGCTGTTACCATGGAGCCCATTTGTAACTTATCTTAAAAATGTAGTCATCTCTGTGAAGCCCCAGCTCAAGGCCAGAGGCCTTGTTTGCACATTTCTTCAAAGTACTATACTGGATATGTTTGTGAAAAACTAGTAATGGGGTATCCAGCACCTGGAGTGCTGGTATCTTCTCGGCCAGTGGCCAAGTAAACAGGGCGACACAAAAATAGGAAGTTTACCTACATTGAACTCTTTGGCAGAGACGCTTTTGCTGACAGTCCTAAAATCAGTCTGGGTGAAGATTTCTGGAGAGGCCCAGTTAAGACTTTTCAGTGGAGAAAGGGGGTGCCACTTCAGTACAGCCTTAATACATTTTTGACAAATTTAATTTGAAATATAATAGGAAATTATATAAATATCATACATTAACAAGTAAACTTTATTTGTTTAGCAAAAACCTTTCCTACCCTGTAAACTCAATGACAGTGATTTCATGCTCTTTCATGACTTTAAATATCTTTTATATGCCACCTGCTCACACATTCAAATTTGTAACCCAGGCTTCCTAAACTCCAATATTTTATATCCAGCTTCCACTTTAATGCCTACTTTGCTATTCAGACTTAATATGTACAAAGTCAAGCTATTGATTCTCCATATCAGTGTCTCAGACCAAAAGACTGTTTCAGAACTTTTCATTTTTACCATCCTACACGAAATCCATCAGGAAATCTTGTTGCTTGTAGCTTCAAAATGTATCCACAATCCGAATACTTAACCCTTCACTAATACCACTGTGGTTCAAAACAATAGTGTGTCTAAATTATTGCTTTCTAACTGGATTGTAATTTTGAGGCCAATCTCAGTAATTTGGCAAGGCTCTAAGCAATTAAGGGAGACCTTGTCTCAAAATAAAATATAAAAAGGACTGGGGATGTGTCTCAGTAGTTAAGCGCCCCTGGGTTCAATCCCTGGTACCAAACAAACCTACCCCCTGCCCAATAACAGCAAACTGCTGCTGAACTGTACATTATATATATATGTGTGTGTGTGTGTGTGTGTGTGTGTATATATATATATATACACACACACACACACACATATATATGTACATATATAATTAATATATATAAATATATATTTATTTAGTTGTAGGTGAACATTATATTTTTATTTATTTATTTTTATGTGGTGCTGAGGATTGAACCCAGGGCCTCACACATGCAAGGCAAGTGCTCTACCACTGAACTACAACCCCAGCTCTGAACTGTACATCTTTAAAGGGAATTATGTAGTATGTGAATTTAATTTCAATAACAACTACAACATAATTTAAAAAAACCCTAACAAAAGTAGAAAAATGCAGATGTCCACTAATTGATAAAATGTGGTAAAAGCTTAATTTGAGTAATGAAAATTTTCTAAATTGGTGGAGGTGATGTTTGCACAACTCTATGGATATACTAAAATAATTGAATTGTTCATTGCAAATAGGTGAATTTTATGGTGTGTGAATTGTATCTCAATAAATTTGCAAATCATAATAAATGAACTCTGAACTACTGAAGTCTATCAATTACTCTTAGGCTTTGTGGGAAAATGTCTTCAGGAATCCAGCCAATATTGAAATAATTCAAATTATTAGATTTTTTTCATTTACCTGCATTGCCTTTTTCCTACATTTCATAATATTTATCTCTTTCGCAACTTTTTATTTCATCTTATATTTTTTGTCGAATAGTAGTTAGAACCCAGATCCTCCTGCATACTAGGCAAGTGCTTTACCAGTGAGCTAAATCACTAGGCCTTTTTTTTAGTTTTATTTTGAGACATGGTCTCGCTAAGTTGCCCAGGCTGACCTGGAACTTGCTATCCTCCTGCCTCAGCCTCCCAGCCTCCCAAGTAGCTGAGCTTATAGCCATGCACCACTGCACCCAGCTATTTTTCAGATTCTAAAATTTGAATTTTAAATTTATTTTTAAAATGCCTTTTTTTTTTTTTTTGGCTTAAGGAGGACCCCCACATTGCATAAGTGGACTGTCCCTGGCTACAGCAGTGTTGAAAAGAAAGGCAAAAATACTTGCCTAACAGGGCTTATATTTCAGTGTATGAAGAAAAATAACTAGATAAAGCATATGGTGTGATAACTGCTAAAGAAAAAAATATGGTGGGAAAGGGAGATAAGTGCTATGTGTGACATTGAAATTTTAGATAGGGTGGCCATGTAGGCCTCACTGTGAAGTTCAAACCTGAAAGAGGTAAGAAGGAGAGCTGCACATACAGCTTTTTGCTGGAAGAGTCAATCTTTATGCTCATCCTTAATTAGTTTCTTATGTTTTCCTAGGGGAGCAACATTGAGTTGAAGAGTATATACATTTTTCACAGTGCAAATCATCTTTCTGCTCTGCAGTTCTTGAGAATACTTTTCTCTCCAAATATGTGCTTTTATGTTTTAAAAGATCTGCTAATTTGTTCAAGAAAAAAATAAGAAAACACAATCTCATTATTTTAACTTGAACATATGTTTTAAAAGGATGTTGAATTATTCTTCATGCTTGTGCTTCTGGCTATTTCTCTTACCTTTCATGGATTCCTATGTTTCTTTTAGGGTGTTCATCTTTTTTCTTATACTTAATAAATATTTTTAAAATCTGATAATAGATTAGCAAAAAGTAGTCCTATGATCTTAAATTTTATGTAATTTTTCTACTTAGTGAATTTTTCTGAGTTTTATTTAGCCAAATATCTCAACTTTTCCCTAAAATTATAAATTTATATGCATTAAAAAGTTCTCTTATTATGAGAGAAGAAAACTTCTCCTAAAGCTTTTATAAGTTCATTACAAATATATTTATTTTTAATTCACCTAGAATTTACTTTGGTAAATAATAGGTAAGATTATTTCTCCCAGTATTTTTAGCTAAATATCTCAATTGATTAATGTTAGTTAAATAATTTGTTAAATTTCAAATATCACCTTTACCATATAGTAAAAATTTACATTTACCTAGTTTTTGTCTGAATTTTCTCTTCTTTTTAAAATTTATGTATTCTAAATTGGCACCGCATTAAAAAATTTTATATATATATATAATTTTTAAATTATATATATATGTGTGTGTGTGTATATATATATATATATATATATATATATAGTTTTGTATAATAAATCTGCACTCATTTTTCTGTATCTTTTAAAAAAAATTCCAACTAGCTTTGGCGTGTATAGTTTAAGAAATAAAACATTCAAACAAAATAATTCTTGATTTAGGAAGTGAAGTTATATGTTAGTTGGGACACTGGCTAGGTTATGGTCTTGATAGAGAAGAAAGGAGTTGAGAAGGAGAGTAAGTAAAGAAACTCTTAATACTCAAGATGCATGTCAACAGCTGAGATTCGAGCATCTGAACACTGTAGCTACTGTCACTTTTTGAGGACTAATTAAAGCAATGTCAGAAAAATTTTCTGTATTATCTTATTTTTCTGTATTATCTAAATGTGTTCTCATGCAGGTTGGAAACTGCTAAAAACAGTCAATTGTAATGGGCTCTTTTATTCTAAGCCAAATAAGTCAGATTACAAACCCCATGGCAGTTGACATAACCTACATGATTATTCACATGCTTAAAAGATTTAATAGAACTGCCGAATCTCATGTACTTTGAGGCAGTATTAGCAATTAGGAAAGCATAATTTCACATGTTTTACCAAGTGAAATTGATTCTGGTTTGGACATCTTCATTTGAACTAAAAGTATTTTAATCAGAATAAATACAGTTGGCATATACTAGGAACTCAGAATATGAAATGACAACTTAATTGGTAGAGTTTCTTAGTGAAGGATTAGTGTAGTAAGATTAAATAGCTTTAGCTAAAAATAGATTTATTTTGCTTAGATTAAAAAGATTATGTAATGATCTATATTTTAGCTTCTGCTTTTCAGTCCTTGGCAATTTAGAACTAGTGGTTTCTATTAAAAGTGTCTTTAATTGATTATCAAATTTGCCTTTTAATGATCTTGTTTAGGTTTGACACAATTCTTTTTTTTGGGGGGGGGTATGGGAATTGAACCCCAAAACACTTCTGAGCCACATCCCAGCCCCTTTTATTTTATTTTTTATTTATTTATTTTTTTTTGTTTTAATTAGTTCACATGACAGTACAATGGTCTTGACATATCATACATTTGAATCAGATGGGATATAATTTCTCATTTTTTCTGAGAGTACAGGTTGCAGAATTACATTGGTCATGCAGTCACTTCTTTTTATTTTTATTTTGTGACAAGGTCTCACTAAGTTGCTAAGGGCCTCACTAAATTGCTGAGGTTGGCCTTGAACTGCACCACCATGCCTTGCTTAACACTACTCTTAACCTGGGAATAAATAACATCCAAATTCACAGTTGAGTTAACTGGTAGACTGGTATATATATGTTTGATTGTGCTTTCTGGTTATTTAAGAATGTCTGTTCCTTGTCAGGTGAGATGGTTCATACATATAATCCCAGTGATTAGGGAGGCTGAGGCAGGAGAATCACAGATTCAAAACCAGCCTCAGCAATTTACCAGGACCCAAGCAACTTAGTGAAGCCCTACACCCTGTCTCAAGAAAATGAAAAGGTCTGAGGCTGTGGCTCAGCAGTAAAGCACCTCTGGGTTCAATCCCTAGAATAAAAAAAAAAAATTCCCTATGCTCAGTAATGGTTTAAAAATGGAATGTTCCTAAAGAATGCTGAGAGTATATATAAAATATTTTCACCCCAAAATAGTAATTTTTTTTAGATAATGCATATACCAATTAGCTACATTCTTCAGTGTATATATACTTCAAAACATACCACTATACATGCAATATGCAAATACATACAAGTTTAACTGTCAAATAAAAATGAAATACTTCTACAATTTCTTTTCTTTCTTCTCTGTTTCTCTATTTAGGTTAGCTTGTGGACCTATAGACCTAGGTCCTGAAGAGAGTCAGAAAAGAGATTCTAATGTCATGGGTGTAAGTTTTGGTCTAGAGACTCAGATATAAGACTGATCTCTTGGATGGTTCATTTTATGTGTCTACTTAATTGCATTATGGGGTGCCCAGATAATTAAACATTATTCTGAATGTGTCTTTAGATTTCCCACCTAAACCTTGGAGAACTATGTAGAACAAAAAAGTCTAAGTAAAAGAGAATTTGCTTTTTCTGCCTCTTTTTGAGCTTGGACATTTGTCTTCTCCTGCCTTTGAACTTAAATTCAGACTGGAACTGATACCATTGGTTCTCCTGGTTCTCAGGTCTTTGGACTCTGACTGGAACTATGCATTGGCTTTGTTGGATCACCAGCTTGCTGACTATATATCTTGGCACTTCTCATCTTCTATAAACATATAAGCCAATTCCTTATAATAATTCTATCTATCTATATCCATCCATTTATTGATTCTATTGGTTCTGTTTCTCTGGAGAACCCAGACTGATACATCTCATTTTGCTGTTCTTCTTATTTCACCTTAACTTCAACTTTATTCCTTCTATGTCCTTGGACTAATGAGAAATCTAACTCCAGTTTTCTTGGCCTTGAAACCTAGAAACAGAGAACCCAACCATTAAGCCAAGGAGAAATTTTCAAGATTTTTGCCATTGATCATTTATCATTAGTTACTCAGATGACATGTTCTTTTTAGGACCAATAGTTTTTGCACCTTTGGGCCCACGAGTGGTGCAAGGGCATTTCTTATGAGGCTTCAAATATAAAGCTAGTTCCCCTCCTAGGTCTTGCCAATTTTCCAGGATAGTGTCAGGGAACAGGGCATGGGTCCACATTTTTTATAGGGATCTTCAGAGGGATACATATTCCTCCGGTGAATTCAACTTAATATTATTAAGATGTTAATTTCCCTCAAACTGATTTATAGATTCAACATAATCCCAATCAAAATCTTAGCAAAAAAAAATTTGGAGTGATGAATGTGCATTTCCAGACTTGTTTTAAAGATATGTATTAGTTAAAATTGTGTGATATTGACATATAGTAGATATTCAATAGATATTTGCTGGAAAAATCTAGGCTTCTAACCTTTTATGGAGATCCTAGGAGCTGACTTAGATGCAAAAAAATAAATAAACCAACACCCAGCAAACAATGGAACAGAACCAAGAGTCTAGAAATAGATCTACACATATATGGCCAAATTATGTTTGATTAGGAAAACATTTTCTAAAAAAATTAAGGAGATACAGAAAAAATTATTTGTTGTTGTCATAGAGCTTGCTAAATGGGCAAGACAAAGATTTATTTTTAAGTAACAAATGTTTGAGTAAATGAAATTTGACAGTCATCAATGCTATGAAGCAATAAATCAGGATAAAGGCTTAGAGATTGATTTATAGGAGGAACCTCTTAATTAGAATGGACAAAATATTTCATTATTGGGCATAAATGTGAATTATAAGAAAGAAAAAACGTAATGGAACCTGCTTTTAGGCTTATTCTTTTATGCTGGGAGCCATTAGCCAAGTAGGTATGACAATTTCCTTGCCAGCGTACCCCATGTTGCAGTGACATTGAA